GACTGCTCACTGAAAAGGTTGTACTTTCAGAATTAAAGTGATCTAAAATTTTGATTAAAATGGACTATTTCTAATTATACGATTTTTTCAAATTTTCGTTTAATATGATATTCCCATTGTGACGACATACACGCGACATTTACATGTTTATCTCACATTGACATATAATATATATCTTGAAGATCGATAATATTTCAAAATACGTAATGTTTAGGTAGACAGATTATTATAAGTCGATTCAGATTTAAAACAAAAAAGCTTAATCGGGGATTATTTCGCTGACCATACACTTGTCATTTCCCGCTTGTATATATATCTCGTCATCAGCTGGCGGAAATGTGTACCCTGGCTTTATTGCAGTCATAAAACGCGAGTTTAGTCATCAGAAATTTCAATAGAAGATATTTATATGCGTTTAGCTGAAATATGCTAGTTTGAAGCAGTCTGACAGAGGCTTGACGATACGTTACAGTTGCATAAAGACTTTGCATGTGTTAGCATGTATCGGGCATATGAAGCACAGGACACCGGATAGATGGCGAGATTTGACTAATTATCGTTTATGGCTTTGTCAAAGCAGTATTGTAGTTTGTAAACTGTTTGTTCCATGTCATTGGGGATATTGATTAGCTAATGAAGTTTGTACCAGGATAAGAGGTTCTATTTCTTCGACATTAGTTAACGGACGGGTTTTAATATCTTTCAAAGAATATAGACTCTGAATGCCACTTTGAAGATTAATACTGTTCAGATATACCAGTTTCAATGCGAAGTCTTGTATTGTTGCAACTTAAATATTGAATTGTTATCCATACATTAAATAGCTTTTACAACTATTTTAATTGTGGAACCGGGACAGAACTATTGAGCGTGTGATAAAATTGCGTTGCCTAATTGCGTAAAACTGTTCTTTCACGGAGCGGCGAGTTGAAAGACGCAGTAGCGTTAATTGTTCGTTGTAAATATGTGACGTAACAATTGCTATTTCTTCAAAGACGACGATGTTTCCAAATTTCCGTTTATTCGGGTTGTTACTGCGTCCTGTATTGTTGTGACACGTGTATGTGAATGGGATTGTGTTTTATTCGTTGGTACTACTTAATTATATCTTGATATATCCAAGTTGCCTTTGTGCCAAAACCGTATACTTAACCGTGCCATCGGCGAAACCCGTATACTTAAACCTTCAGCGCGAAGAAAACCATTTTTATCATATTTTATAGGAATTGTTTCCCAAAATAAGGCACGCGATCTCGCTTAGAATAAAAAAAATACTCATCTCTGGTTGAAGTAACGTTCGAAATTATACAAGATAGATAAATATGTCGCCTCTGTGCACATTATTTATTATATTATTATAATTTGTCATTTCATTTACATAATTCGTTCATGTGCTCTTCTCGCGCCACTCAATAATTCTCATTTTCACATTTTATTTCTGTATGATAGAGACAATCGGTGTGTATTATTTCCGGGTAGTTTATATTCATATGATATATTGTTCATTATTACTGGTGATTACTCACTCACACGTTTCTGCGCCTCATCTTCTTATTTTACAAATTACCGTCTGAAACAAAATGATCCGCACGTGATGTGTGGGCCTCACTTCCAATTTGTGATTTTTCCCGATGCATTTTATTTTCATATTCCATCATATTGTGTTCATTATTTAGTCATCTTCCGTGTGTATGTCAACTAATCGCGCATTATAGACAAGTTATGCGTGGGTCAATCTTATCTATATTTCATTGTAATTTTTCTGTCACTGGATTAGAATTATTTCCCGGTATTTTCTATCCATGTTATATATTCGCGAGTAATACTGGTAACTACTTAACCATGCATACCTGCGCCTGATCTTCTCATTTTATAAATTGACGCCTATGGTAATGGTCGAGGATAGGATACGCATTTTAATGTTTTCATCAGTAAAGACCGAGTTAGTTTAAGAATAATTTGATATTAGATAGGACGGTTTCTGAGTGAGGGGAAAGTCTATGAAACCCTTTATCACACACGGATAACTCTTCCAATCCTGGCTCGTCCGTTGCAGTACGCTGACCAGTTAGTTTATAAGCAAGATTTTTCGATCACGTCAACTGGGTAAACCACAATCTGTGCAAAATGTTAACGTTTTTTTTAAACGGAGAAACAGACCAAGCGCAATGAAACTGAAATGAAAATTCTGCTGGATTCGACGCCCTCGCGCGAGTAACGCCTGATTGGCGCAAAACACTGGAGAGGTACTTCAGTGAAATATTTTTTTCTTATTTATCCGGTAACAATTTATGGCTATTAAAGTCGTCTCCGAAAAATAAAACAGGACATTTTGAAACAAAAGTATCTAAACGTGGGGTTTCACCTAATCTCAGCGCCAACTTGTGATTTTCACGGTATATTATTATTACTATATTACGCCGTCTTGTGATAATAATTAATAAACTTTTCATCTTCCGAAATCATGTGTACGTTGCGACTTCTTAAAATAATTTTATCGGTGTCTTCAATTAACCTACTTCACAAATCTAACACCACAAGCGGAAAATTACCGTCTGGCAGAGTCGCCCAACTCAACCCGGTGGTAACTTTCCGCTTACAGCTATCTTGTCGTCTTCGTCCGAAGTTGAAATTATGACGTCATAATGTACGTAATGTTTATGTCGTCTGCAATGATCTGTTTCGGTTGTTTTGTCTGAGTGCGACTTTGTTATTGTTACTTTACGGGGGTTTATACATTATATGCCGCCAATATTTTATCACACACTTACGCGAGCTCGCCAGTAAATAAGCAAAATTATATTTCAATGCATTCATAGCGTAAGTGCGGTGAGTTAGAAGACAATACCATTGTCCATAGTCCCAACTTATTTCAAGACGAACGGAGTCGTTGGACAACATCGCGGGATAAAACGGGTACTTTTCCGTCATTATCTTGCGCGGCGATCGCGGTCGCGAGGTTCTGATATAGCAATTAAACAGATTGGAATTATTGTATCATATTAGGTCAAACATGCCTTTTTCTTTGACTATTCTATTTGTAGTAGTTAGCATTATTAATTATGGCGTTACTATTACGTAGTAATATGAAGAGAGTTGTTATTATGTCGTCATAAGCTGAAGAAGACACTTTTCTCGGTGTAATGTTTTTTCGCCAGATTTAATTATCTGGTGCGATTTTTAACGTTATTTTTGCAAATTTTTCTCTTTTCGGTCGCGTAGTAGCAGCTTTATAGCTTTGATTTTCGTTTTTCTCGCCGAACCACGATGTAAAAGAGGAAGCCTCTGTAGTTATTCTGGAAGATTTTATAGTTCTGCTTTTACATGGGCCTGTTTTCCAGGAAGTGTTAAGACTTCGTCACATTTTATAATATGACCGGCTTTATATAATATTATTTCTATTTCATATTTGAGGTGCAGTGATATTATTAACTTTATGACCTGTTCTAGAATTTATAATTTAATCTGAACGTCTAATAAATGTTAAAAATTGATCAATGATTTAAAATCCATAAAAGTATTTCAAGTCTTTAATTATATTTGTATTATATGTTAACCAGTTATCATATTCAACTCTAACTTATGCTTTAACTAACTTATACACGCAACACCAGGAATCAACATTTCAGCCATAAAATGGTTCATGGAGAAGAGGTAACTACTGACTGAATATCTTGAATGTTTAATGAAATCAAAAATTCTGTAATATTCAATTTTGTTATGATTCTTCGTAGTAATTCTATATTCATATCAATGATGCTTTTCTTTTCATCATTAAAAATCACTGAAGCATGACTAGTCAGAATAGTCTTATTCTGATCAGTAAGTGTTTATGCTGCTATTTATCAAACCAATATCTATTTATACATAGTCGGGCAAATCACCCCTTACCTCTAGGCCAATGGTTCTCAAACTTTTTAAGCCGTGTCCTCTTTCTAGAATTTGTTAAGTTTTTCGCCCCACCTTAAAAATAACTAGCTAACAATAAGCTACAATGTAAATATCAAGCATAAAGAAATGTAAATAACCAAAATAAGGCAGGCAAGCAAGATCAAATCTAGCAAATATTTTTATTTTTAATTAGCTTCACGCCCCTATAAAAAATTGTCACAGCCCCCTGTGCGGGGTGATCTATTGTTTGAGAACCACTGCATTAGGCAATCAATCATATTTATCATGGTTTCTGTTTCGTAAGACCCATCACAATGTGTTTGATTATTTTTTTTTCGATAATATTCAATATAAAAATGATTAAAATGAAACAATGAGATGGCATGGCAATCGTATGTTTATCATGGTAATTTTATCTTTGGAGAGTCTTTTTTTGAAAAGATATTGATTAATAGATTGTTGAAATAAAACAATGAAACTTCTATTTGTGTCAAAAGTTGTTCACCTTATTTACGATCAAAGTTTACTAAATCTCTGTTTGCCGTCACATGATTTTTATTTGATTTATCGAGTGTTTTATGTAATTGTGCAAATGTTTTGTTGTCATATGTTTCGCCGCAATCTTGTTAAGCTAACAATTGTTTAAAATAAAAACATTCTGTCATGCAAAATCTCATGCATAAAAAATGATTTTATGAAAATTTAATGAAAAGAGAAAAAAACCTGGATAAATGAGTTTTGAGAAAATGGTGAAAACGTATATTTTTGATTTTTGAACTTTTTTGTTCCTGTTTTAAAAAATTTATTATTCAACCTATTATAATTTATAAGTATGATTGGCCCTCAAAAAAATTTTTAGTTTTTCAAACTTTATAGATGACTCATCTGGGGAATTAGAAATTCAAATAATTAGATAACTGTTTTCTTAATCCTCTCACTTTTGTAGCAAATTTAATTTTACAAAACTTTGAGGAGAAAATTTAGGTTCTATAAGGATATTGGGGTAAAGGGATATTGGAATAATCTATTTAAAATCAAAAAAATTAGTTGCAAGATATAATTCTAGACAATGTCATAAATCATTGGAATTGATTTTATTTTTTCTGCAGAAACCGCTCTTCACAGATGTTTCAACTTACGAGACATTTGCCAATATGAGAGGAGACAGCCAAAGGTCACCTCTACTGACAGATAGTGTGGATAACGATATTTCAAAGTAAGTAAAGGCTCAGTGTTAAGTTGTAGGAATACACTTGTCATCGCACCTCAATGTACGTGGTTCAAAGCCAGAGGAGATATATATGTGAGAGGATTGCTAGACTCCCCATTGTCGTATGATGGTCCAGATGATCGTAGGCTGATCATGGCTTCCACCACCATCAAGTCCATGCATCTAACCAAATAACTGGCTAATCCCATATCTCAGCATGTACTGGTAACCGGACAAGAGGCCATGGTTTGCCATATGATTGAGTTATATTTTTATTTTTTTTTTTGGCCATGGATAAATATAAAATCCTATCCTAAACCATTGTAAGTGATTCAAAAGTCTTGCTGCACAATAACACAAATATATTTCTGTAACGTTTCGTTTGACCAAGGTCAGACTTCTTCAGACATAACATAGTTCAACTGTTGGGATAGTTATCTTTACTCTTGCTACGGTATTCTTACATTATATGCATACGTATCCGCCTGCACAAAAGCATAGAAGTAGTTTATCTCACAGAAACCAAATGACTAAACCATTGTTATGGGAATGATGCACTTTCTGCTTCATTCGTATATAGTTGGGAAACATGCCAAGTTTCCTTCAGCTTCAAACTAATTTAATTTTGAAAACAAAAACTCCAGTGAATGCAAGCATCCTTTATTAGACTCTTAAGAATGCTTAGTAAACTAAATACCTCTGGAGTGTCTGCCGAAATTTTTTGAATTCTATTATCATCATTAAAAGTCTGAAAATTAGATTCTGACCACTGTATCTGGGGAAAATCAAATTTCTACTCCCGACTCCACAGACAGTTTCAAAGTTTGACTCCCAGCTTCAGTAAAATGTCGGACTTCACAGCCAAGGTGCCATGATATGACAAACTAGAGTTAATAATCCTCTAGCTTCTACAATAATGACACCTTATTAACTATTTTTCAGGCAAACACATATCTACCCTCCACTGGATGCCAGCAATGATGATTTTGACTCAGAATCGAACGTGAGTAGTGAGGGGGAGGAAATACAAATTAGAAGAGACGGAGGACATACTACAAGGTTGGTATCATTCGTAATCAGGGTAGCCATCAACTAAGTTCAAAAATAAGCACGGGTGTCAAAAGTTTTTTTTTCCTTTTTGAGGGGGGGGGGAGGGTACTTAAGAACGGCAGTAGAGAGAATAAAAATGGGGAATAAATCATATACAAGTCTCTTCTGAACACCTCCAAGGCGGGACATCAGCTCACATTGGAAAGTGGTTAATTCATACGTCACAATAATAATGCAGCGAAGTGTAAATACGTGTTGCGTATCATAATTATTGAGGTATATAACCCCAACGACAATATTAAACATCGTCCCTCTTTTTCATGGAGCATTGTACGTAGAACATGAACGGGTCATCTATGTTTCCAATACAAAATTAGCACGCAACTCAAAAATAAGCACTTTTCTTAGAAATAGGTTCGCGGCCTGAAGGGGATGGGGGGTGGAGTTAAGTGCAAATACAAGTACACAAGACTCGAGCTTGGCACCTAGTTTGTTGAAAAATTTGGCGGCAAGTATTTTCTTACTTTATAAAAAAAGTGTTCCCATATATGATAAAAAGTGTTCCCATGAAATTGACTTAAACAGCAAAATTTTGCTAAAATATCGGTTTCTATAGGAAAAATAATTTGAAAAATAATAGTCATAGCCTTGCTTCCTGGCTGATATCTTCAATACTATAAATCTGATATCGGTTCGAGTTCGAGCATCCATAAAATCGTCCAAATATTTTCTGCACCAAAAAGGCTTTCTCAACAACAACAATTAGTATTCGGTACTTTCGTAGTATGTGAACCAAGATGGCAAACACCGGATTGTAGTATGTGTAACAGGTTAGGGTTAGGCCATTATTTTATTCAGATTTTCCTTTATTCTAATACTAGTTCGAAAACTAGCCAAGTGACTCCTGTAGTATTTGTAGGCCTATCTAAAATTATGGCCTAACCCTAACCTGGTACACATACTACGTTCCGGTGCTCCCCATCTTGGTTTACATACTCACTAGTATTGTCGCTTAGCGTCAAACTATAAATCATGCACAGGACTGTTCGAAGAATATTTTGTGCTTGATGCGAAGCATTTGTCACCTTGACACATACAGGAAATACAGCCTGAGATGCAGGAAGCTGTCGCACTCCTTTATGATCAATAAGTTTATGTTTTGTCTGCGAGATAATTTCAACTGTTCAGTTAGGTCGGATCAGGATGTAGTAGCTGGATATAAATGTTGTGTTGGAGTAGGGCAATTACTGTTCCTAGTAGGCCAGTTACAGATAATAGACTTGGTTACTGGGCTGGAGAAATCAGTTTATTTACAACAGCTAGGCTAACATTTTTATAATAATAAGAAGCATGATGTAACAATCAGGGTCATTATGACATGATTTTCATCGAGTTTTTAAACTAAAATTTATATCCCTAAGACCCTAAAAACAATTCGTCGTGATTGCAGCAGACACAAGTGGGCCAAATTTGGCCCGCAGACTGTAGTTTGCTCACCCCTGTACTAGTGTGTTCTTATAGACACAGATTGCAAGGATATTGTAACGAGAATCAAAACAGCTGCATTGAACATGGCTCGGGGGTGTGCAAGAGGCAGCCCGTGGGCCACAACCTGGCCCACCAAGCCATTGTGTGTCCCTTTCCCATCAAGCATAATATCGTAATCCGACAGTTTAAAAAGTTGCTTACATGGGTAAAAATACATATTTTTTCTGCTATTGTCGCTGCTTTAAATATTTCGCTGTCTGGTGTCTTCTCTTTCCATGCTCTTCCCACACGGAAAAACTAAAATTTTTGTGTGGTTCGGCTACTTGTCTGAAGTTGATTATATGCCACACTGATAAAAAATATTGCACACCCGGTGTTAGTGGATTCGCGTGCACCGACTGCAAGGATACCGTAGCAAGAATCAACGGCTGGGGACAGGGTTTGGTTGTCTGAGTTGAGGCTAGACAATTTGTTACGGATAAAAATTCATGAAACTTTGAATACTATGAGATCAGAAAGTCATTGTTTAATGATAATTCGACTGAAAAAGGGCCTTCCGGAAGGCCCTATTTTAGGTCATTTTTACAATAAATTTTCACAGTACTATATAGCAGAAAAACTTCTTAGTTTTTCAGCTTTGAATAGTTCATTAAAGGTTATTTACAGACACTTAACAGCTACTGCACATATATAGTTTTTATTAGTCTGCTCAACTATTGAAAATAAGAACTTTTTGTCACCTATGAAAATTTTTATATATTTTTCAAAAATCGCAATTATGGGCAACCCAGGTATTAATCGAGGCACTTTTTTTTACTGTTTTGCAAGTTTCTATAGATTTACAACAATTGCAATGTGATTGGAATGAACTGCTACCACTCGATAATGTCGTAAATTTTGTATAAACATGTAGACAAAAGGGCCTTCCGGAAGGCCCTATGTTTTTTTTACACCATTCAACTATTTTGACCAAATTGAAGACTACAGGGCTTTAAATGAAAGCAATAAAAGTTGTAGTTGCAAGCCTGGCGATTACCAGATGACATAGTCATTATTTTGTCTTCATATCTCCAATTATAAGCAAGTTACCTAGTTTATTGATCAGATTATTAGATTAATTTTTGTTGTTCCGGTGTCAAAAAATATTTTCTTCGTAATTGCAGGTACTTTTTTTTGCACGAGGCATGATTTCATGTTGGTTACTTGATTTATTGAGAAACAAAATGCAATACAGAATGTTTAATGATATATAAAAGTTGGACATTACTATAGAAAATGTTAGGGCCTTCCGGAAGGCCCTACAAAAATAATCAGTTATATGTGTCGATGTGGACCCTTAATATTGAGAGGAAAGCCTGTTTTTTCGAAGGGAAGCCAAAATTAAACACAAATTATCATTTTATGTTATTGATTAACATAATAAATATATTTAGGTTAAGTTTAAGCTATACAGAAGAATATTTCGAATTTAAAAATTGATTGCTACTATATACAGTATCATTATAATTTGTGGTTGGATGTGGTTTCTGGGTTGATACTTTTCAAGTTTTTAGAGAAAGCTAGAGTGAAATTTTATGATATTACATTGTGAATTGTGATATAATATTACAGTGTGTGAAATAGACTATAAAGTTTTAAGACCTGGAGTTTCAGATGAAGAGAACATAGAAAGAACCTAAGAAAGATTCGAATTAGGAAATTACTTTGAGCGCAATGCAGAGAGTAGCTTTGGTTTGAATGAATGAAGAACAGCCAAACAGCAGTTTAGGAAGCAAACAAAAAAGACTGAGAGTTAGGATTCTGAAGTTGAGAAAGAAAAGGAAGTTAGTGAATGTGCTAAGTGCTTTCTTAGCATGCAGCATAGACAGTGAACTAACAGAGATGAATGTATTTTCATTCTCAGACGAAGAAAGTGACAGAGTCTGATTAATAAGACATAGAGTCTGATTAAGACATGGATACAATCTCCTTACAGCAGAGAATGATAGGCAAAGTGGAGACAGAGCCTTAGGATGAATTATTAATGGTGTAGTGAGTTAGTTGCCCATCCAAACTTCCAAATTTTTTTGCAGATAGATTTGATAAAAGGAACTTTAACTAGCTAGAAACAAAATGAGAATGGCACTCTGGAAATATCCCTAGACTGCAAGTAGCAGAAACTTATTTGAAATTTGTCACTGTCATCATTATAATGTGGGTACTGGATCCTTTGGTTTCTAAGATGCGTAACTAATGCGCTCTTGTGACCACTGTCAATTTAGAGCAACATGGGTTTTCTACTAATAAATGCTCATCTTTGGATGTTATATTTCATTAATAAAGACAACATATCAACCAAATCTTGCATGATATTCTTTACATGACGAGCAAACATTTCAAATTCAAAAGTTTTATTGTCCAAGTAGGCGCTGACTTTCAATGAGTGATCGTCTTTCATTTACTGAAAATTAATGCCCAGCTGTCATTTGGGGAACACCTTCCCTCCCATCAAAAACGAAAAATGTAACTTTCTTTTCAGATAACTTGGCTTAAAATAATATTTCCCGTTTTATTTGATAGTGGTACATGCTCTAATTACTGGAAATAGAAGTTTTTTAGGTTTCCAGATACCGGGTCTTAGGGCCTTCCGGAAGGCCCTTTTCAAGAAAATTTTTGAAAGGGTCTCCCATCCATCATGTTGTTTGTGTTAGTATTAATTTTCGAAGTTTTTTTTGGTATTAGGTATTTGTGTTCTGGGTTTTTAGAGAAAAAAATGTACCTAATTGAATATAGTTAAACAATAATCCCTCTTATAAAACTGATCGTTTAACATTTTTGATAAAAAATTTATAATTTACAAAAAAAATTGTATTCGCGCTTTTTTCTGTTAGCAAATTTAGTTTTTCAGTGCAACAACATGATACAAGAAATTCATAAACATGAAAAAATTAGATCACAAAGGTTTTTTTATCTGAGAAATGAGGATTTTAAAAAATTGATTTTTTTCAAATTTTTCAAAAAATTGAAATTTTTATTAAAAGTTAATAGGTCAGTGATAAAAAACTAAAATGTTTTATAGAAATTGTAACCCATGATTGTATTCATGAGTAACTGGCAATCAATTAATATCATAAGCTAAAGAAAATTCAAAATCAAACTACACAAAATCAGGTTTCAAAACTATTTGATTAAAAGGGCCTTCCGGAAGGCCAAAAGACCTTCCGGAAGGCCTTTTGTCGAATTATCATTAAATGATTTACTGTCAATGATATACAAATTGCAAATAACTAACTAACTAATCCCATACCCGACATGGACTGGTAACCAGACAAGAGGCCGTGGTTCTCATATGATTAAGCCGTCTTGTCGGCTCTTCTTTCTTCCGGTATAAATATGCGAATCCTATCTTACCAGAGCTTAGTAAGAGGGCCATTTTTTAGTTTGACTATCAAATATCAAAATGTTAAATCAGAAAAAGGTTACTATTATTCAATTCGGGTGTACTAGGATTAGTGCACTTATCATTTGCTGTTTGATTCTTTTATAACATTTTTGTCTGAAGAAGTTGACTATGATCTAACAAAAGCTTTCAAATATACTTGCTATTTCCTGGAAAGATGTTATGTTATTTATTATTATTAGAATTATTTCTAAAGTGTAAAGTCAAATATATCGAGTAAAATTAATTACTAATGTAATTGAATATCCGATCCATTTTGGGCTTGTGTCTTGATGGTCAGGTATTCAGAAGAACCATGGCATCTTTCTTGTCCAAGTTTTTTCCGTTTGACTACTCGGGAAGAATTTACAGTGAAAGAGATATTGATCATTATAAAATAAGGTAGAGTTAAACACAGGTGGTTGGCCTGTTTCAATTTCAAACAATGAGCCATTCAAACACAACTCAGGCTTCATAATGATGAATATTATCAGCAGAATATTTTGATTTCCAACTCTATCTTCTAATCTAACTTTAATATCAAAACATTCGTGTATGCCAGGGGCACAGCCAGGGTGTTTCTGAGGGTCGGCACTCCTCTTGAAATGTAAAAAATAGCATTTTCCTGCCTCATACCTAGCAATTTTTCATGGCTTGAAACGCTTTTTAGATCCTCTGGACTCTTTGAAATCCACGTTTTGCAACTCCGACTGGACCCGCTAGCTGATACAATCCTACTTGTCAATTAGAAATTTCAGAAACCCCCCTCAGAAATTTCCTTGCTATGCCCCTGGTGTATGCAACTAATGCAAGCCTACTTTATAGACTAAGAATTATTTGCAAGTTTATTCCACTCTTGGCTACTTGCTCAGGTCCTTCTTCTGAGAGAACTTCACCATTCTTTTTTCAATTTTCAGCAACATCGGGACATTGATGCATCTACTGAAAGGCAACATTGGAACTGGACTCCTCGGGTTGCCATGGGCGATAAAACATGCCGGGATCATAGCTGGCCCGATCATGCTTCTAATAATGGCCGTCATATGTGTGCACTGCATGCAGGTCTTAGTAAAATGCTCGAAACATTTTTGCAGGTGAGTGAGTTTTGTATTGCTTTGTAGAATATATACATTGATAGATAATTGTTTAGAGCAGTGGTTCTCAAACTATTTGGGTCGCGCCCCTTTTTAGATTTTGTCAAGCCTCGCGTCCCACCTCAAAAAAAACTAGTTAATAATACTAGATAATAATACAATTTTTTGAGGGGGACTGAGGCTAATAAAAATAAAAATATTTGTTAGATTAGATCTTGCTCGCCTCATTTTAAATATTTACATTCCATCCACGTATTTTAACATTTATTTGAAAAGAACATACTTTCGCCTTACTATCTGTTATTTCTTGCTCATTGTTAGCTAGTTATTTTCGAGGTGGAGCGTGAGACATGACAAATTCTTATACGCGGCTTATATAGTTTGAGAACTACTGCATTAGAGCTTCCATCAGGTTTGAAGACCAGAAAAATTTGGGGTTACAGTGTGCGAGTACAAAAATAAAATAATTATCATCGTTACCGTGGCCAAAATTTGTGATTTAGAGAGAATGAACACCAATGTAAAGGCGTTTACGGCCTAAATAACACGCCACGCTAATAAAAAACAATCCACGATTTTAGCAGAAGGCATTTGCACGCATTATCGGCGGCTTTTTCAGTTTTCAAAAAAATTCAAAAGGGGGGGGTCCGACCCCGAAAACCCCCTCCTGCCTACACCACTGGATTACACTATAATTCTTCAATCTAAAATTAATATTCCTTTTTTAGGAAGCTCGGCATCTCTTCTCTCGATTATGGTGAAGTCATGATGCATAGTGTCGAGTACGGTCCAATACGTCAACTCCAACCACATAAACATAAAGCAAAAATGATAGTGAACGTCTTCCTTATGATCACACAACTTGGGTTCTGCTGCGTTTATTTTGTATTCATGGGGCAGAATATAAGACAGGTGAGTTTTTTGTTCTTTTATCAAAGGCTTTTTGAGGCACTCTAAAATAGATGGCATGACTCTGCAGCCTCATTCTTGATTGTGGTGGCATCTTGTCGATGGGCCATATAACCATCTTCAGACATCTAGGTAGACCACATAGAAAATTTAATTTTTCTATGGACACAACGAATTGAAACGTACCCTCAATGAAAACACTATTGCTCAGACTTACAGTAATAAAGGTTTATAAATGGTCTAGATAAGGGGTGTGCAACATTTTCGTTGGTGGGGCTTATAACCAACTTCAGACATCTAGCTGGGCCACACAAAAATGTGCAATGAGGCTATCTCTTAGTGTTGCAGTAATAAAAGCGCCAAGCAAAACGACAAAAAATTTAACAAAACAACAAGAGCAAAAATCATTATGTATTTTTACCCATGTGAGTGAAACATCAACTTTAAAATTGAGATTTTATTTCTGATAATAAAAAAAGTTTTTATAAGATGGCTTAACCATGTGGTGAACCATGCCCCTCATCCGGTTACCAATTCATGTTGGGTATAGGATTAGTTATCCAGGTATTTGTTTTCAGAAGCATGCTGTGCTATTATTGACCAGTTGAAATGTGGGAAGTAGCTGTCATTTCTGGTAACTATTATATCATTCTCTTTTCACTTCTAAATATGAACCTTTTTATTTTCACACAGGTTGTAGCATTATACTGGAAGAATGCACCAGAGGATCGAATTTTTATGGCAATGTTAGCTCTACCTGTCGTATTACTGACGTTCATTCGCAAATTATCAATCCTTGCCTGGTTCTCGTCTGCTGCCAATATCGCTACAATCATATCATTGTGCATCATCTTCAGATATATTTTACCGGTAAGTTGGATTTTTGTTGGGATGGTTTGTATGTGGAGTGTTCACTCTGAACGTGGCTTTTGACAAGATATTAACATGCGAATAAATATCTAAGGATCTGTTATGAGAATTAAGTTCTGTTATTCTTGTTGCAGTGTGCTACACTTGCGCTCTTTTGTTTTTATTCTGTCACTGACATTATCACAAAAACCCGAAATCTCATTTCGGTACTCCGGTAGTATTTGTACCAGGTTAGGTATATTTTTATTCCAATTTTCTTAATTTAAGTTCTAATAAAAGTTCGGGTACTAGCAAAGTGACTCCTGTAGTATTTGTACCTGGAATTATGGCCTAACCCTAACCTGGTACACATACTTTGTTCCGGTGTCCACCACCTCGGTTCGCATACTACAGGAGTACCCTCATTTTCATATTGTGGTGAACTATTACCAGCCCTTTTGTATGGTTACCAGTCGATGTTGGATGCGGCAGGGTCATAACCTCTCGTCAAGTTGGGCCCAACAATCAACAACTTTTCTGGCGGCCATTAATAAATTAATATCGTATTATGAAGATGCTTCATTTTTATTCTTCTGTCGAGTAAATACGGAATAACAACTAATACTATTTATTTCTTCCACCAGGATCTACCGTCATTTTCCTCTCGTCCGTTTGTTGCTAGTTTATCTGAAGTGCCAATGTTCTTTGGAACAGCTATATTTGCCTTCGAAGGAATTGGAGTGGTAAGTTTAATAATGAGTATCGTGTATCCTCGCATATAACTTCAAAACTAAGAAAAAGTTGCCAAACTAAGGGGTCGCTTATACACCGATAACTCTGTTCACATTTAATCGAAATACCATTATGCTAGTTTAAGTCAACAGCTACTATTCAAACCATGCTTGTGTGTTTTGTACGGTCGGCTTGTATTTTTATAAATTAACAGTTTTTCGGCCGCTTTATTTGGGGGGGGGGGTCGGATTACATGTGAAATCGGGTTATATGCGAGGATATATAGTTAGCTACTGTCTTCGAAAGTGTAAAGGTCTGGAAAACTATTTTAAAAATGGATAAAGAAATATCCGTTGTTTTTATTTGACACAAGTCAATCGAAGGTTCCCAAACTTTTCCATTGAACTCCTCTTTTTGCCTATTTGATTAACAAAATTTGGCTGCGATATTTTTGGTGCGAAATGCTATATTTGTCTGTCAAGAATGCTCTGTCGAATTTAATGCTTTTTCAGTCTACTTCCGACTCTGAATTCCATTACTGTTTCTACGAACCATCAGGCGCACTGCCAGGCTATAGGACTCATTCGGTACTGGTACCGGTTATGTGTAAGCAAAAAAACATAATAAAGCACTAACTGCTCCATGCATTAGGCTCCCCCTATGGTCCATAAAATACAGTACTGACTTCGGGGAATTTGAAAATACGACTCAGATCTCTGATTCTAATATCTATGAAAAGATGCCACATTTAGGCTCAAAACATCAAAGTTTTTTTGGGTGGAAACTGGCTCCGAATGCCCCCAAAGGTTGTATTGTTGCCGGCCAGTCGCATACCAAAAGCATCTGTTTATTTATTATTTATTTATGTATGCATATATTGTTTTCTTGGTTTGATAAAATGAAATAAACTCTCTCTCTCTCTTTGGAAGGGCAAAAACTAGATATCACACTAAATCGATTCCATTCAATTCCAGGTTCTGCCGATAGAAAATGCGATGCGAACTCCCGAGCATTTCCCTTTAATCATCTACCTTGGCATGGCCCTGGTGACTTGCCTATATACGAGTGTGGGAATCATCGGCTACCTCAAGTTTGGCGACGCTATTTGTGGAAGCATAACATTAAATCTGCCTGTCGGAGATCCGTAAGTAATCTGCTACTGCTGTTTTGTTTTTATACAACGATTATCATGTCTCATGCTCTTCGAGACCTTATGACAGTGGTTTCCAACTTTTATAACATGTGGCTCCCTTTCAGAGGCTTTTAAGCACTCATGTCTCCTCTGTTTACCATTCCAGTGGTATTTATAGTGTTATTATGATTGGTAGACTCCAATTCCCATTATGTTCAAACAATTCATGCTAAACAAGGTAAAAACACCCTGTGAAGAACCTTATCAAGCAATGAAACTAGGAAGAACAGGAAGTTTTGTTGTGAAGTGAAAAGTAAAATGAATTATGCGCCTAGCATTGTGGCCCTCTCCAACTTCTCTATGGCCCCTTTGGGGGCCCCCCGGTTGGAAACCGCTGCTCTATGGAGCAGACAATGATATTTAATGTTATTTGAAAACTACACACAATATGTAAAATTCAAAGTTTTAAAATTATTATACTTATAAATTAAATGATCTTAAGTGTGGTGTGATCGAAATACTCCAATGTTAAATGATTAATTTGACACTAAATAAAAATAACAAATTCACAAAAATTGGTACTTTCGATGATCCAATTCCCAAGAAACAGAAGAAAACTTTTTATCGAAATTTAAATTTTAGCTTGATATTTATTGGTTTTAAAATTCCAGAGTGTTGTATTCTTCCATAGCAAATCTTTGTTTTTAATCCATTTCTACAAAATATTAATTTCAATGCTGAAATAAAAATCTTTTGAATTCATTTTATCTACCTCATATTGTGAATTCTTCCTACATTTCAGGAACATCCCCATAGCCAAGCTTTCAGTCTGTAACCCCAACTTAATTTGGCTTCACACTTTAACTACAAGTCCAGACCAGATACCCAGAATCAGGAGAGTAGCTGGGGGGCTAAGGGCCTCCCCCTCCCCCCCCTCTCCCTTTTGAAATCTTGAACCTTGGGACAATTTATAGACCCTCAAAGACTCATGAAAACCAAAGTTTCCCGACCTCTTGGCGGACCGACCCGCTGGAAATCACAAATTTCGACTCCCCCTTGGAAACTTTTGGCTACGACCGTACCCAGAATGATTTGTTTTTTATTAAAATTATTACAGTATGCATTTAACCTTTTCTTCAAGGTTTTACGAACTTGCAAAGATTCTGTTTTCATTTGTAATATTCGTAAGTTACGCTCTACAATTCTACGTCCCGTTTGAGATAATCTGGCCAGCGATGAAATCAAAATGTCAGCCTCGCAGTGTTTGGTGCGAGTTGTTCACGAGGATGACGCTTGTCATTATGACATGTGAGATATAATTCTGACAGCACAATGCTTGCTGGTGTGACATTGTAGTTTGTTGGTGATGTGACAATGCATTATGTGTTATGTCATAATGCTAGTTTGTGCTGAATACTTTAGAATGTCATCTTAACCGCCTGGTTTTTATATGTGATTTGCATCGTCTTCCTCTGCAACGTTACATTAACAGATTTTCGTATCATTTTTTCGGGTTTCATGCAGTATGGAAACCAAGATGGCGGACACTGGAACGTAGTATGTGTACCGGGTTAGGGTTAGGCCATAATTTTAGGTACAAATACTACAGGAGTTACTTGGCTAGTCCCTTACCTTGTAATAGAACTAGAATAAGGAAAATTGGAATAAAATTATGGCCTAACCCTAACCTGGTACACATACCAGTTTGTTTGACCACGAACTGAATGTCTATCCAGTCCGAACCCATAACCCCCCTCATTTTGAAATGTAAAAAAATCATTTTTTGTATCATACATAGTAATTTTTAGTAGCTAAAGACCCCAAAGCACCACGTTTTTTCTTGATTCCAGCCGGCGCCGAAAACTGTTATAGTCTAACTTGGCAATTAGAACTTTCAGAACCCCTCCCTTTGAAAATTCTGGATCACGCCTCTGCCCACAGTCTTACGTCATCGGGCTCACTCTATGCCAGTGGTCGGCAACCTTTTTCCAGTGACGAACCGGTAAAGCCTGACCAAAATTTTGGCGGACCACCTTTATACAAATTACAGACGAACTGATGTAATTTAATAAATTATATGCGCTAGAAAAGTTATGTTAACAATACATTCAAAGACAAAGGTATAACGTGTTTCTTACGTTCGTCCTACTTAAATATTTCGTTTTTGTAGTTGTCAATTTTGAAAACCTGACTTTACATACTGGTAACAATGCTCTTAGGGCATTGTACGTTTTTTGTGTCACCTCTCTGCGGACCGGTAGTAATCTTCCCGCGGACCGACAATGGACCGCGGCCCGGTGGTTGCCAACCACTGCTCTATGCAATCACTAGGCTCACAGGAATGACACCTATATTATTTCTTTAGTCTAGCACAAGCAGCGAAAATTCTGTATGCAGTCGTGATCCTAATTGGCTATCTTCTACAATTTTACGTTCCTTTTCAAATCCTCACTCCGTGGATAGAAAAATTTCGGAACCCAAAACGAGTCGATTTTCTTTTGAGAATTTCAATGGTGATATTTACTTGTAAGTTGAAAAAAAAAATTAGCAATGCTCTGTTGATCTCTGCTGACATCTGCTGGAATAGCGCTGATGTTAGCTCTGCTGGGTGGCTAGAATAATACTAATTTAGTTTACATCTTTGTTGAGAAATATACTCACATATATACAGCACTCTGGATTCCAGTGGAATGCATGCATTCCACTGCATGTATATCTTCTAGTAGTACTTTCCAATTTCTAGTCAAGGGTGCGGACTTTTCTCGGAGTGTGGTGGTGCATCATGCAAAATGTAAGGAATACACTCCCATTCGCACTTCTGATTACCCTGCGTGTCGAGTCCTGTGAAGGATAATTACATGCGAGAGGATTGCCTGGCTCATCACCGCTGTAGTTTGGCTTCCCATCAACTTCATGCATCTGAAACAAATAACTGGTAAAACAGATCCCATACCCGACATGGAATGGAAATCTTGCTGACATTTTGGTCGGATGAGATTTCACAGAAATACATTTGTGTCAATGTGTTGCAATACTTGCAATAATCAAATAGTTATCTTCATTCATGCTACAGCCTCCTTGCATCATATCAGTGCTGAGGATATTTAATAATGTAAATAATATGAAATAAGAAACCACTCCAGTTGTTAGAAATCAACAGAGCATAGCTACAAAAAATTTCAGTTAAAACATTGAAATTCGCTAATTTTTGTTAAATAAAATCATAAAAGATTTCTGTTCAATTCAGCTATTCTCTGATTCTAAATTTTTCTTTTGCTTCGAATCAAAAAAATGCTTCGCTGTGAAGATTTGTATTTTATTTACCCCTAGTTTGCTTCTATGTGAGGGCCTATGACCCCACTTTAAGATAACTTACAATTCATTTTTTTTCAATTCTGTTGGGAACTTGCAACTTACTATGAAAACCAACATATAGCTTTAGAACAAGGGTGTGCAACAGACAACTCACAGGCCACAACCAGGCCTACCAAGTCTTTTAGTGTGGCCCTTGTCAACACCCAGAATTTTCCCCATCAAGCATAAAATCATAATTTGACAATTTATATTTCAAAAGGCGCTGCATAGGTAAAATACGGAATGTTTTTTTGCTCTTGTTGCTGCGTTAAATATTTTCTTGTTTTGCCTGCTGCTTTCATTACTGTAATTCGTTGTGCACATGAAAAAACTAAAATTTTTGTGTTGTCCAGCTAGATATCTGAAGTTGGTTATATGGCCCACCAACAAAAAAGTTGCACACCCCTGTTTTTGAGCTTCACTGGTTGCTTGAAAGTTTTCTATCAAATGCTCTACTTTCTAACGAGTTCATGGGGCTTTGCTTTGAGCTAAAACCTTTATATGCGACCAGTGACTTGCAAATCTTTAGTCAGTATTTTTCTGCTTTTATTTGAAACGTCTTCCACTTTGAAGGGATAGTTACTGTCTTAGAGCAACCTTGCCATATTTCTATCTGTACTATTTAACTTTTAGTTGAGGCTTTGCACGAATTTGTGTAAAAATTCGTGTATGGGGCCCAGCATACCAGTGGTACCTGCAACTCTTCTATCGTTTTCATTTATTTTTTTGCTCATAAATTTGCATGTTTTGTTGTTGCATGGCTTTGTAGTTTTTTTATGTTTGTATGTGCATGTAGAGTTTAGTATAACATGAAAATAACATATTATTCAGCATAATCGTGGAATGAATTGTGTTATCATTATCAAATGATGCTTGCATTGACAACACTGCAATATTTTTCCCCAAAGAATACGCTCAAAGCAAGGCCATGAGCAATTACTCAGAGGTAAAAGAAACTCATCTCTGGGCAAAGTTACAGGCACTCACTCAGAAGTAAAGGAGACTCATCTCTGAGCAAAGTTACAGACACTCACTCAGAAGTAAAGGAGACTCATCTCTGAGCAAAGTTACAGACACTCACTCAGAAGTAAAGGAGACTCATCTCTGAGCAAAGTTACAGACACTCACTCAGAAGTAAAGGAGACTCATTCCTGAACAAAGTTATGGGCACTCACTCAGAAGTAAAGGAGACTCATCTCTGAGCAAAGTTACAGACACTCACTCAGAAGTAAAGGAGACTCATTCCTGAACAAAGTTACGGGCACTCACTCAGAAGTAAAGGAGACTCATCTCTGGGCAAAGTTATGAGCACTCACTCAGAAGTAAAGGAGATTCATCTCTGAGTAAAGTTAAACTAACCAAGAGATACTGAAACTAAATACAATCAGGTCTATTAAACACCAGTGAATGGATATTAGTACAAGGCCATGATAGTTCATATTGTCCCACTCTTTAGACTGCTGCACTTCGATCTTTAACCAAACTATTTGAGCTAAAATGCGAACTGCTAGCCTACTTTTTCCACTTGTGTATACTAAATGCTTCTAGTGCATCCGCATGCTGCATGAAACTACTATACTATTTTATAATTTTTTAACTAGTTTTTACCCAGCTTAACTGACTATATGTCATGTTTCACTATACCAAGCCAAAATTTAACCCCGAAATAAATTAATGAATTTCAATATTTGGAACAAAATTGTTATCATTTGATTTATATTATGATTGGCCAGAAATTAATTCAAATAAATTAACAATGTTGATGGCACTTTGCAATCACACTTCAAGTTGATTCTCTCCTGAAAAAAGCAAAAACATGGATAAAAAGTTATTCTAATTTGGCATTTCCAATAATCTTCAGAAAAATGAAGCGATCGGAAAAGTTTACATTTTCGATAACTTTCTATTTTTTCAAACAGGTTTATGTGCGATTGCAATTCCAAACATCGGTGATTACATCGCACTAATTGGGGCTTGTTCCTCCTCGTTTTTAGCGTTGATTTTTCCCCCGATTATCGAATCTATGACATTTCATAGCAAAGCTGGGGAAACCTATGTTGAATACACGAGCCCTTCTGAACAAGACTTCGCTGCAGATGACGCAAGCCAGTCATTGATTAATTCTGAAAATGCGAATAAAAGGTGAGTTGTAATTTTGATTTTAGCTGCTCCCTGGGTCAACATCGTGCGATTTCGAAAAAGTATTTCATGAACCATTAGGCCTTGAAACTTAAATCTTTATTAAAGCAGATGTTTGCGTCCTATTCAGTAAGATGACGCTAATGAGCAATCCCTCAATTATATTTACAAAAAAAAACTTTCATAGTTTTGTTAATGTTAATTTTTGCCTGGTGATGGGTATTTGATTCTTTTGAATAATCTACAATGCCTCTCCCTTGTTCACTTGGACGAAGCCTTGAAAAAGAGACAATAGGCCATGTTAAAAATTGTCGATTTCCAAAAGAATTTAAATTTTGCTAAATGTACCTATTTTGATAAATGAGCATATGTGCCGGACTGCAGTCATTTATTTATATCGAATGCCAATGATATCTAGCGATATATCAGGACTATCAGTTGGGATTACGCAAGACTAGCTACCTTTTCTTACATTTGTGGAAGTGGATCCGTATGCGTGTAACGCAAAGACGCGGTGGCAAGAATAAAGATGACTATACTATTTGATTCAAGAGTCTTGCTGCAGACTAACACAAACTGTACGTACCCCTGTCAAACGAAACCTTACAGTAATACATTTGTGTTAGTGTGCAGCAAGACTCTTGAATCAAATGGATATATTAGGAGCTATTATTTTTTGTTCCATTCCCACACTAGATTCTGGTCTTTCCTAAAATTGAAACCCTTTTGGCGCTGCGGTGTGGCTCATCGTGCTAAGCGTTAGGAATACGCTCGCCACCGCACCTCTAATTACTCTGCGTAGGATTCACAGGTTCGAATCCCATGCGGGGTGGTTATGTGTGAGAGGATTGCTGGACTCCTCGCCGCCGTTGAGTGGTTCACGTATCCGCTGGTCGGTTACGGCTTCCTCCACCATCAAGTCCATGCTTCGGAAAAACAAATACCTAACTAATCCCATATCCGACATGGAATGGTAACCGAACGAGAGGCCGTGGTTCTCCATATGGTTAGGCCGTCAAATCGGCTTTCCTCTCCCCCGGGATAAATATGTAAATCTTATCCTTATCCTTTACACATCTACTTATACAGTGCCTTCAGTTAAGAGTGAAGGCACATTTACATCCCATAAAAATCAATTTTGATATTTTCTTTTCAGTCCTCCAAAGCAACGTTCGTATCCGATATCACAAAACAGTAAAGGACTCAGCTGTTTTACCATTTTTAAAAACGTACTGATCCTCTCGTTCGGAATTATCGGTTTTATCGCTGGAAGTATCGTATCAGTAAAAGACATAATTTACGACTTGCAACACCATTCACAAACGGACGCGTGTAGTGGAGGCCTCGGCCCGAATTCTACGATAACGACTGCAGCTCCTTTTAACCACAGCACAGGATTTCTTACTTCAACAATATCCCCGTTTAATACGACTTTACATGATTTAGTTACAATGCATGGCAGGCCTTGAAAATTGAATCTTCATGATGGAAATTCCTCTCAATGAGTTGTTTTTCCTGGCAGGATAGTTTGTATTTTTCAAGTCTCAAGTCAATCACTATCTACTGGCCCTGGTCCATAATAATGACAGAAAATCAAAAATTCCATTTCTGAAAAATGTGATTGATTATGGATTAGATGGACTTGGTTTTATGGAAATGAACTTGATTATGGAAAACTTGTAAGATAATTGTGTTTTAGTAATAATAATTATGAAGCAGGCATCTACAGCCCTGCCTTTGGTGTTTTGGAGCTGTTATAAGGCCATATATATTGCCCTAATTTTTGAACTTTTCAAATTTTGTGCCCAAACAATCCTACAAGTATTACTTCTTTATATCAGAATAAATAGAATATTTTCTGTCTAATGGCTACAAAAAACTATTTTCAATTATTATATTTTGTCTGTTTGAATAGAGTTTTCTATATTCATGGGGTTCTTTCCCAAATTTGAATTTAAAAATTCAATACAGGGTGCTTGCTAGAAAAACAGAAAATTTGTCAAACAGTTTTTTTTTTTTATTACAAATGATGATTTGAAAACGAGCGTTATCCCATTTGGAACGGTATACCACAAGTTAACCTTCAAAATGCTACACGAACTTGGAGCTAGGTTAAAAGTAAGACAATGATCTGAAATGCTTGGACGACATTTTGAGCATCTATGAGTGTAATTACCATTTCCTCTTAAAAAACTCGTAAAAGTTACTCTTTGTAAAAAATGAATAGCTGTTTGACAAAATTTCTGTTTTTCTAGCGACTACCCTGTATATACATTTCCTCAAAACAGTCCATTCAAGTTTCCCCCCTTTTGGGTTGAACCCCCCAAATGTGATCTGCACTGACTATGTCCAAATAAGCTAAACTTAATGTTCAAGGCAAATCAAAGTGCTCTTTTTATTTAAATATTTAAGGATAATCTATTTGATCTTAATTTTTTTTATTGAAATTGCAATTTTCTTATTTTTGCTACTTTTTAGTAGCTTAGTGCAATAACATTGCTATCTATCGTATAGTACAGGATTAATTAATTAATTAAAGTCGTTAAGTTAGCCACGGTTGGGCTATAATAAAAAATATTTTGTGCTTGTCAAATAAATATTTTTCTGGATGATTGATTACGGGAATTTACAATTGATGTATCGAGCAGTTGAGATCTTGTTCTCAACAGGGGGTTCGTGGCCCGCTGCCAAAAGAGAAATCAATCCATGATTGTTATGGTAAATTGTGGTGACACAAAATAACAAAAAGAATCTATTTCAAAAGAGGATGAAAAGGAGGGAACTTTTTTTAAGAAATACCGGGTGTCCATAAAGTCCCTTTACAATTTCAATTTTGTTATGAAGTCAGTTCTCAATATATCTTAACCAGGTTTGTTGTTTTTTAATCAATAATTGTTCAAGTATTTTTACTTCATTTAATACATCTGCGAGGGACAAAATTTACTTTGCAATTTTGAAATTTTTTAGGACTTTATTAACACCCCATATTTCTTTCAAGGCCGTAGAATCAGAGAAAGGTTATATATATATATGACTTTGGATTCGGGAATTTTTTGAGTTGTGATGAACCATCCATTTCAATTGTTGTTGTATTGTTTTCTAGCAATTTATGATTTGTGTGGTGTGCTCAGTCATGCTTGAATCAAGAAATTGTAAGAATGATAATGTGATGCTCTTAAAAAATTTTCTTGTGAGTTTAATTTGTCGCTATTTAGATCTTGTTATTTATATCAGGTCTGCAAATTGAAGATTTTGCTGGAGAATATTCAGCCATTTACAAGCAAATTTTTAAATTCCAAATCATATTTCTGAATTTTATTAGCTAGCTGAGAGATACTAAATTTCAGTTTTCGCGAATCTGAAAATAGAGTAGGAAATCTGAAATCCTCCCCCCTCAAGAAAAAATAATAACACCTCCAAACTCTGACTCTAAAGCCTTACTTTATTTTGTGATATCACAACTATTCTTATCAAGCTTCGTTCCAAACTAGCACTTGTAAACACTATATTTTATTGCGAAAGTTATATATATTTCTGAATTTGAACTATTTTCAAGTCTTATCTTATTCTCAATATGTCTTGATTATTGTACCATAATAGTGGGGTTTATTTGCTAATGCCATGGAAATCACCTCATAAAAGGCATAAAGTGAACCAAACATACAAAATATTCAAGCAGTGGTCCTAATTTACCGTTTGTACAGACCCTAGAGACCAGGTCCATGCATCTTGATCGAATGATTTGAATTTTCCCAAACCTGACATGGACTGGTAATCGAATCAAAGGCTGTGATTCACAATATTATTAAGCCATTATATCAGCTTTTCTCTTCTGAGATAATGCTGTCTTGATTTGGTCCCTATATTGGTACTCCCATTGTGTGTGTACCAGATTATTGTTAGGCCATAATTTTATTCCGATTTTCCTTACTTCAGTTCTATTACGAGTTCGAGGACTGTCTGTGTTAGCCAAGTGAATATACCCTCTGCCCATAGGTTTCAGTCCCTTTACACAACTTGACCTTAAGTAGGCGAACAAAATTAGTTACTTGCATATTGGTACACATACTTCTAGAGCGCCCCTATATTTCTATCGCCTCGTTTTTAGCAATGGAAACAGTTAAACCTCAGTTTGCTGTGCGATATCAGTTTTATGTGAATGCTGAATTGAAAGGGGATCATGACCTTTGTTTTGAAAATTTTGTAGACATTTTAGCCATTTGGTACAAACTCTTATATTACAGTGTTTCTCGTTCTTCTATGAATAAAATATCTTATGGTCAGATGAAAGTGTTTTTGTGACTGGTGTAGCACATCTGGAGATGATTGAGAAGAAATATTTAACTAAAACATATTGAGCATGAATTTCATAGAGCTGTTGAGCACAAATATGTGTTTGACATGTTTTTATCAATAGCAGAGTCGAGATTGTGCTTTTAAAGTTGCAGTAGTCAAAAATTTTGAATTCTTTATAATCTGAATTGTACTATGATGATCAGAGCCGAAATTATTTAACAGAAACTCGAAACAGCAATAAAGCATTGAAAGTTTCCACAGGCCAAATAATTGGTATCAAAATCACTGTATTATTTAAAGGTTCGAGTGAAAATTTTTGTTCAACGAAGCTGAAAGTCTTTTATGAAATAATCTGGAGTCTGGACATGAATTTCTCTAAAACCACAGCTCTTGATTTCACAGTCACAATTTTAAGCGTTTTTTATGAGGGCATTACTGCTGTTTTCAACCGCTTATCCCCAGTTTTAAGGAAGAATAAGACTTAAGGTATGAACTGGTAAATTTAAAATGTGACTTGCCACATGACAAAACTTATTGAAAAGAACTATGGCGCATATGAAATCGGATAACATCACTATTCAGGCCTATGAACTTCGATCCAATTCAGTGTGACGCTGTGACTGGCAAACTCCTGCCGTTCATGTGCTTTTCCCGCGTTTTGAGCATTTTATCAGGTTATCCATTCACAAAGATAAAAATGAATTACATCAGGCAATGCAGAGTACAGTCAACCTGTCGGCGCGGCGGTGTGGCTCAACAGGCTAAGCGTTAGGAATACGCTCGCCACCGCACCTCTAATTACTCTGCGTGGGTTCGCAGGTTCGAATCCCATGTAGGGATTCATGGCTTCATGAGTATGACTATCGTCGCAAATTTATTACATTCCACTCCCCACATTATCTTGCATTAGGTTGTAGGTATTGGTCATTATCAACGTAATTGTTGAAAGAGAGTACAACAGCCCGAAAGTTTATTACTATCGTGTATTTTGTTTTTTAAGTTTGGCCCAAGCCTCATTTAATTGGGCTTGTGTTTTTGTGTGCGTGCTGGTGGGCAGGCACATGAGATACTTCATGTTTTAAACTTTTTTGTAGATTTTGCTTGCCCTCCAGAATTCTCCATTTTAAATTTAGGTTTGTTATGGAGTTTTCGAAATAAACTATCTATCTATCTATCTATGGTTATGTGCGAGAGGATTGCTGGACTGATCGCCGTCGTTGGGTGGTTCACGTAACCGCTGGTCGGTTACGGCTTCCGCTTCCTCCACCACCAAGTCCATGCTTCCGAAAACAACCAAATAACTAATCCCATACCCGACTTGGAATGATAACCGGAAGAGAGGCCGTGGTTCGCCATATGATTAAGCCGTCTTATCGGCTTTCCTCTCCCCCGGGATAAATATGTAAATCCTATCCTAACCTTGCTAGAAAAATATTGTGTGAAAAATGCGACACCTTCCGACGACCTTTGACATATCGCCATGGATACTATTCAGCTGTAGCGTGTTTTGGTTTCTTGTTTTGGCTCGGGACAAATTTTATTTTTATTATTTAATCCAAAGGTGCCTCAAATATACAGCCAGCTAAGTACGGAAGTAAGTGTATATATTTTTTTTATATATAAACTATTGAGATGCCTATAATCCTGTTACATGGAAGTCTAAATAAACATATAATAGCGTGGTACCGGTGGGTACCGTAGTAAAAAAAATTCATTCGTCAAGTCAAAACTATGAAACTGACGGAAATGCGAGTTGATTAGATGTATAGGAAAAGAAGAGTCGTCGAAAATAGTGTTTAGAATTGCAGTTTCCTTTATCATTTTTTTTTTTTAAATTATGTTGCTGTTTGTTTAGGTTTGCAATAATAGGGTTTTTACACATCCCTTAGATGATATTTTAGTTTGATTATGATGGCAATACTGTATGACCTAGAACAGTAGAATGCATGGACTAATATGTGTCGACAATCATTACAGTATTAGGCCTATCTGTATTTTGTTTCAAGATATTCGTTTGAGGCAGTGTTGAGAACAAAGCAGATTCTTACATAGAAAGCAGACAGATTGTTTAATAAGCCTCAGAAAACAGGACAAGATAGCAATTAACAATGTCAAGGGTGAGATATTATAAAATGATTCAGATATTTATTTTCGTCGTGCAAAACCAATATGTAATAAATAAAATATATGGATAATTGGGGTCTCCTGAGGTATGCGCCGCAAGTACTTCTAATTGGCCTGGCTCAACAATATTTGCATTTGTAATTTCTAACCCCCACATGACTATGTCATCCAAAAATTACATCACCGCGAAGTCACAATGACGTAATACGGCCCTCCAAAGTATACAAATAGTTGCACAGACAATCATCTGAAGTCAAGCAAGCTATTTCTCGTCGTCGAAACGATACCGATACAGCGATAAGAGAGAGATCGCTGCACAGATGCCATTTCGGACGATCATATTATATATTTTAGCAAGTTCTATGACGCGATTGTGATGCAGTGATGAACTGGTAATTTCCGGATGACGTAGTCATGTGGGGGTTAGAAATTAGATATGCAAAAATTGTTGAGCCAGGCCAACTAGAAGTACTTGCGGCACGTACTTCAGGAGACCCAATAATTGGCTATTTGTTGAGGTAAGATTTATATATTTATTCTGAGATAGAGGAAAGTGGATAAGATGGCTTAATCATGTGGCAAACCACGGTTAATCGATTAGTTAGCCAGGTATTTGTATCAGATGCATGCACTTGATGGTGGAAGAAGCAACGTTCGACCAGCGGTCATATGGGAACCACTCTACGGCAAAGTTGACAATGGGTCGCAAAAGACTCAATGAGTTATCTAGTGAACGACACCTTTTAGCCCAAAGTAGAAAATGTAAGAACGGTTACGTTTTAATATCCAAACCCTGCCACTAGTAGGTTTATTGAAATATTACTATTCAGAATTAAGTTACATTTTATGAAGAATATTCACTGTGTTACAAAAGCAATAAGTGGAAAACAATAAACCTTGTGCCAAAACTAAATATAATCGCAATTGCAACAAATTCCTTGAGCTAGTTTGGGCTAAAATATGAAGATTTGGTTTAAGTTTGATATTGGCAACATCAAGCGAGCCAGATGTTTCTTGACTCTATTCCCTATTTTTTAGAACTGTGTTCAGGGGAGAATAAAAGAACCCTCTACGCATTGTTGGGGATGATTATTCGTGAATCTTTTATTTTTCAGAGAACAACAAAAATGACGAGTGCTCGACGCTCTCGATCGAAAAAGAAAGAGAAGACCGAGGACGAAGAAATGTTGGAGAAGGAACCGAAAGGATCGTTTGCATGGAAATTGTTTCTGCCGTCTCAAATCAAAACTTTGATAACCTGTGATTCACCTGAAGATTTAGAGGTTCGTTGGTCTGTTGTCATCAATAATCGATAATTTGAAAGAAAATAACATACTGTACTGTAGCCAATTTTTTTATATGATATGGCAATTAGGCTATGCTTATTACGATCTGATTTTCAAGAAAAAACTTTTGGCAAAAACAAAGTACATGTCTCAAAGTAGTGATCTTTAATGGTGTGTGAGGATCCATTATCTTTGAAGTATTGAAATTTTTCCGGTCATTAAATAAAGTTATTTTAGATTACTCAGGGACATTGATCGGTGAATAACGATGTGTTTTTTGTTTTTATTTTCATAAATATATTGTGGGCCTCCATAAACAATAGTCAACCGCTTTGCGTGCTCTGTAACATCAAACGTTTGAGGACTCTTGCACTAGGTCACCGCGGTGGCACGTGGGTGTCGCTGCTCGATAACCAGTCTTGCTGTCTTGCGCCTCCCTTCACACTAATATACCATATTACCTATTTTTTGTATTGTGTATTCACAATGTGTGCTTTAGAATGGTGGAAAAATAAATTACTGATTACTTTAGATATTAATATTTAAATTCCAGGAGAAAATGGGGATCGCTTTAAATTTTGACCAATACGAGGTAGATCTACGGGAAGGTGCGCAAGTCGATTATTTTGTCACAGCGTTTCATTGGGCGAAGGAGAAAGCTTTTGACGACCGTCAACTTGGAGGTTTCATGGCTCTATTGTCATCAATACTCGATAATTTGAAAGAAAATAACATGCCAAAGACTGAAAATATTAAATTTTTAAAAGATTCTTTCTTAGGTAAGTTAGATGATTAGGGTTTTAATATTTTATTGTAGTGGAGGAAGTGGTGAGTTGGAATGAGTGATTTGAATGTCCACACTTTTGCTCATAACAATTTACTATACCCCAGCTTGCTTTTGATTACTTCGAGTCTGTGATTTGATTTCTGTCTTATATTCATCTCTATCTTACCTGGGTGTTTGCTTAATTAACCTTGTGCATCTTATGTTTGCAACATGTATCAAATTTACAATTGTAAATATTGTAACTTAATCCTAAAATTAAGAATTCTCATATTGAATATAACGAATGTTAGTTTTAGGCATGCCATGCTCTGATTCAATGAAAATTCCCTAAAATAATGGGCTGTGTTACAATTATGGATGCCTCTCCGTCACTTAACTCCTGAAAATTTTTCCCATTACTTTACTATGAAAAAATTTTCAAATGGTTATTGTTGTTGTCATTATTGCTAAGTCGTTATTTTTGCGTCATTACCATATTTACTTATTGGCCATTGTTACAGAAATAAACAAGGAAATCAATGCTTTGGGAAACATCCAATATCTTATTTTTATCTTTTCTAGGTGTTGGCTTAGACAACCCCGAACAGATCCCAATATCTCTGTATTTCTTCACTCTCGAGCAAGCGAAGGACGTCATGGAATATCTGCTGACAACTTTCTTTCAACATTACGATCTTTATGATTTCTTATTCAAGGTGAGAGAATTGTTTGTTTTTTAATATGATGTTTATTCCACGATCTTTGCTCTGAACAAAGCCCTGTAGAAGCGGCCATTGATATGTAAGGAAATACTATTCTTGGAAGGACATTTCTCCCTGGATGAGGTGGAGGACGTGGGATTAGACAAGAAGCAGTTTAAGATGCAACAGATTGAAATTTGTGAACGCAACACTAAATATGGTGGTTTTTATTTTTGCAACCGTATTTGAATTGGATAGGATTTACATATTTATCCCGGTATAGAGAACAGCCTATCAGACCACTTAATCATATGGCCAAGCATGGCCTCTCGTCCGGTTACCAGTCCATGTCAGACATGGGATTAGTTAACCAGTTAGTTTGCACGATGCACCATACTGCCGGGCCTGATTGTTGCCGTCAAATTGCTGCAGTAAGTGTATACAGATCCACTATAACTAAGGCAGCAGCAGTAATTAGGAACATGCTACTCTAATTAACTCTTTGAAAATAGTATCAGCTTTCCTCTCCTCTGGAAAATATATAAATCATATATATTTAAACAGGTCGATTAATCAGTTTTGGCCATCCTTGATCACGACTTCTTTTATTTCCAGAATGAGCAAGACGAATTGATAATTGGGTCAGATCTCACTGCGGAGGTTTGCCCCGAGGATGTCGGCCCTCTACCCCCGCCACTAGAGGAAGCAATGCTATTTGAAACGTTTGAAAAATTCGTACTGGAAAAAACACCAGAAACAGGTTTGTTAATGCTGTTGATTGGATTCCAATATTTGGTTTGTGAGAGAGAAATTTAGTAGTCATTTGAGAATCCGCTGTGTCTGAGTTACCGTGTCCTCATTCGAGAAACGCCTGCATTCCGAGCCTCAAGTCGAGTTAATTATTGAGACGAGTCTATCTGGCGATCAGTTGCGTATGAGGACTCAAGAACCCCCCCCCCCTCCCCTCAAGTTGAGTCTATCATAGAGACAAGCCCCCATTCTCGATCATTTAAGTGTAAGTCAAGAGTCATTCCATTGGGACTCAAGTTAATTCGAGGCTTTGATAATTGGTCATTGGAGCCCCCTGCCCCTCAGGCAAACCATTTAAAACCAAACTATTTGTTCATTGCCATCTATTCATTTTAGAAGAGGAGGTCGCAGAGAAGGCCGATGCTGCTATAACAGACGAACTAACGGACGCAGTTCTGAAAGCCGTGGAGGCTTCTCCTGACGACGCAGTGAAAAACGTTTCGCCTGAGGAGTTACGAAAGGTCATTGAGAAGGTCACAAACGAACTTATTCTCCCAACAAAGAAAGAACTAAGGGAGAAAATAAAAGAAAAAGAGACGACGTACTTAGCAAAAATTGGAAAAGTTCAACCGAAATAAATTTCTTTTTGTTGATTGTAAATACCTACTAATATATTTTTCTATCAAATTTATAATTTTGAGATATGTAGAGTGGTGTGAGTTCTGGGTTATATCCTGTTTTTGGGCGGTTCAAAATTCTTGCTTCAGTTTTACACTTCAATTTATTACACGATACAAAAATGATACAATACATACACTCAGAAAAGTTGCCAGAACATGTGTGAATCAGGAAAAGAGCTAATTTGGCATTCTAGAGTCCCATAAGTTTGCTCAATCAAATAAAGTCATCTCGCTGAAAAGCTTGATACTCCAGTTTTCTTTATTATTCGGTTTGAGAGGACTACCTTAAATGTTATTTAATCAGAGGAATCGATCGACTGAAGTTACGGACACTAAGACATATAAAATACGATCGTGTAGTACAGAATTTGCCCACCATTCCAGAGTCAACCTTACGCTCCCCCCGCAAGTTACTTCAAATAGTGATTCAGGACAAGTTCGAATTAAGTATGTTGATAGGTATTTGTCTGTCTGTTAAATGCACGTGATATCTCACGAAAGCGAGGTTGAATCTGCTCCAAATTTTGCATGTGCATTCATCATATGTCGGACCTGATATGTCGGATCAGAAGCCTATTGACTTTGGATAAATTACGTGTATAATTAGCGAGTTGTTATTTAATTAGTGATGGGACACACGGTGTCACTGTGGAGTAAGAGCGCTGTTTCCGGGGATACCCTAACTTTTGATCGATAAGTATTCGGTCTCCGACCGATATTGCCGTTAGAAGCATCTGATTGATCGTGGATGCGGCCCCTACTATGTCGGGAGTTCGTTTGCCGTAGTACGAATGAAGCCATTAAGACAGATCCAGCGACCCTCAAATTACCAGCTAACCATTTTCCCCAAGAGCTGCTCTCATTTTCCAAGGTATACTGATATCAAAACCTTGGAATGGAGAGGGCACTGTTCAAGATACTTTTATTAAGAATTGTCAAAAATGCAAAAAAGAAAACACAGTGGAATACAAATATTAACTATAGAAAAAAACTTATTCACAATCAAAATTTGAATTACGGTACTAGCTCAGTTTTGATTTATTGTCAACCTTGCATTGAGCAAAGAACATATATTCAAAGTAGTACATGCACAACTGATAAGCAAACAATATTGTTTAGTCCATGTTTCGCATGTCTATAAAGACAATGAGACGCAAATAAACCAATTCTGGTTATCGAGCAGCGACACCCTACATGGGAGGTCGTACACAACATGAACTGAAAAATAGAAAGCCTAAATTACATTATATATATACAAAATATTCACATAAATATATTTCTATATTAAAATTGCTCAAGTATGCAGAGGACAGTCTGGTAAATTCAGAGATGCTTGTTCATATAAAAGAAAAACTTAGCTGAGATACTGGCAGCAATCAGAAGCCTTGTAGAAGATATATATATATATTACAAACATGTGTATTTATTTTTGAAAATGGCTGACCAAACCATGCACTAATCGGTGTTGGGAAAGCTAGCGTCATTGACCAGAGTCAATATTTGAAGTGACTCCAGTCATCTGAATAGAATTTCATTGATTGACTTGTCTCAAAACTTTGATGAATTGACCGCGAAATAGAGTTTATGGACTTCTTCTTGACTCTGTTGCCGTAATTAGTCCCAAACACAGAGATCAGATCATTGAATGATTTTCAAATGACCCACTAGTCAAGTTCTGAAGCACAGCATGCCACTTCCAATCCGTTTCCTTTATCATCATTGACTGAAACAAAAAGAGAGACATACTCAACTGTATGGACACACAAGTAATATAACAGTGTTCCCATATTTAAAAGAGTGGGTACTCAAGTATGCATACCAAGACACCGGAACGTAGTATGTGTACCAGGTTAGGGCTAGGCTATAATTTCAAGTATAAATACTGCGGGAGTCTAACGTGGTACACATAATATGTTACGGTGTCCGCCATCTAGGTTCACATGCTTCAAGAGTACCAAAAAGTGTTCCTATATATAAAAAAGTGTTCCCATGTATTTGAAATAAACAGAAATTTGGGGGAATATCGCGCCCCATAGAATATATGAAACTTCCACGATTAAGTACCAAAAATATGAAATTTATTGGTTTATTAATTGCAGAGAAAAAAAATATTTCTTGACAACAATATTTAGAAAACAGACCCTGTTGCACAGCTTATCATTTTGGTGTGCTTTTCCGGGATCGGGTTGTGTAACAAATTACTCGATAAATTACCTTGAAATGTGATTCAAGTATTAGACCAGTGGTTCCCAACGTTTATAACATGTGGCCCTCTTGTGGAGGCTTTTAGCACTCATAGCCGCCCTGTTTATCATTCCAGTGGCATTTCTAATGTTATTATCATTGGTAGATTCCAAATCCCATTATGTTCAAACAATTCATGCTGAACAAAGAAAAACACCCTGTGAAGTAAATTTACCAAGCAATGAAACTAGGAAGAACAGGTAGTTTTGTAGAAAAAGGAAAATCCGTTTTGCATCTGGCATGGTGGTGTTCTGAGGCCCACTGTGGAAACCACTGTATTAGACACTAGCATTAAATTTAGTTTTTGACATCATGAATATTGATAAATCCATATCTTTCGAATAGTGTGTTTCGACATAAGATACAACTAATTTAAATAATTTGCATGTGCTTATTGGCAATATACATGATATATATTGTTTTACATGGATTTTATCATGTGAATTTAGTCGCAATAATTTGACTGCAGCAAAACCCTGCTCAGTAAAAACGAATGGTTTTGCTCCGTCTAAAGCAGGGGTTGTGCAACCTTGCGTTCCGAATGCGACCCACAATTTTAGATTATTTCTTACCCCTCTTTTTCAGGATATTCAGATTTCT